CTTCTCTTCCAAGGCATCCCAGGCTGCCTATATAGTCGAGCAATTTCAATCACTACTGTCAACAAATTGCTGACGGGAAAGCGTCGTCCCCCAGAGTACGAAAACAAATGCGATCAGCTTGGAGTACTTCAATGAGTCCCACAATATGACTCTAGTGTGAACGCGAAGGTTTCAAACAAGTAGAGACCTGTGCGAGGACTAGGTAAGATTCTATCTTTAGTTGGCACAACATGGAGTGCAGGAAGTAATTCTTAGATTTTATGGGGTAAATGTGAGAATGATCCGTATGCACAGATTAATCTGAGATGTTGCAGCTAGGCTTGGCAGAATGAGCTGATGTGTAGGGATAACAATCTGTGGCGTAGCGCACAGAATAATTTGTAATCCAGTGGTAGGGAAAGGTTCAGCGAATGTGGCTCCCAGAATTTCGCTTTATTTGGCACTCAAGGCTTCGTCTGACTTTGCCACACCCTGTAGTACTTGTGGGGCCAATAAATGTATTAGTCACATGTCTTATCACAGCAAGCTTCCAAAAAGAACCCTCACTAAAACTTTGCTTAACAAGTGACTATTATGTTGACCAGCCCAACAAGGTTAAGAATAAAGGGTTTCCCTGACACTCGGAAAAAAGAGACAAAGTCTCTACAACATCCTTTTTAAGCAACCAGCAATTGAACAATAAGCTACAACAACACTGGAGCACCTACGATATTGTAACAAGGTAAGTCAGTCCAATATCACATTACTCTTCTAACTGGCTCACTCTCTCTAATTAGCTACTGTATTACCTCCAGAGAAAAACAAGCAACAAAGATGTTCAAGCTCCTTATCAAGCCAGCATTCAAGCCTATGGGCATTTACCACCATCTGCTTCAAGTCCACCATCTATATGTTGTGATCGGTGCTACTCCAGTAAGTTCCATGCTTTCATGATATACAAACTACATCTAACTGAGTGCCCTAGAGATGCAACACAAACACTGACAGTGCCAGTCATCTAGCTGGCTCTGCAGGTGGCAAGTCCCTTCCTAACATGGCTCCAGATACTACCTGGCAGTGTTTTCGTGAGCTGGAAAAGGTTGGCTTTAAAACTATTCTCTGATAACAAAATGATACTAATACGTAGTTAGACTACCACTGCGACACACACTGGACTGTGTCACCTCCAAGCAGGCCAAAAGGAATGGGTATTGCAGATAGACAATAGGTTCAACATGATGGAAAGGCAATTTGCAGAAGCTCATAGCAAAATGTACCACTTGTTGTACTTAATCCTTGGCAGTGTTTCCATCAAGGCAGTGCTTAGCCTATATTTGAAGGAGGATGCTCAGAGAGAATCTGATGAGAGGGTAGATTGCAGCATGAAGGAATCTGCATGGAAAGTAAACTACAGTGAGAAGAAATAAATTCCTGTATGGTAGCCCATCATATATGACATAGAGGTTTCTTATAGATAATACCCCTTGGGACTATTTTTTCACTTTTTTGTTTTTTCATGGACAGAGTGCACTGTTTGAGCAAGATGTGAGATCATGTTATTTTGCTTCTTCCACCAAAGGAATTACACGATTGGGGTTGGCATAGATCTATTCTGTTCTGTGCATAGGGGAAAAATGGGAGAGATGATTATATTTTTATGATTGGTTGTTCTGGTTCCTGTTTTTGCTTTTAAATGTCTTTCATTACCCTTAGGTTCAGGTAACATGGTACTTACTTGGAGGGGATGTTTGAGGACCCCACTAATGTAGATTGTAGCCTTGATGAATATATAGTCTATTTATCACCACATTGGATTCTCAGTTCTCTGACATGCTTCAGTTAGGAATGGTGTTTCTATTGCTTATTTTTGTGTCACTGATATTTCCGGCAAATATCTACCAGGTTGATCATTGAGATACAGTCTATCCTGCTTGAAAGCTCCAAGGATAGCATAACATAGGTAAGTATCTCACTTGCTTCTACTACCTAGAATAGATTCCTAACAAAGGTCATCAGCAGCATAGACAGGAATGTCGAAACGGTCCATAGTAGGTACAGCAGTGCTAGTTCACCAAGTCAACAAAGGTAAAATAAGTAAGAGGTGGGGGGAAGTAAATTGTTATGAAGAAATGAGTTTCAAAACTTGTGCACAAGTCAATAATTTTACAAAGTGTTGCAAAGAGCGATTCAAGGTAGCATTCCCGCTCTGATAAATTGTATAATATTAATCACAGATGCAATCGTGAAATATAGGAGAATAGGAGATCTATCTTGGGGTTTCGCTCCGCTTCAGCTTCCTTGGGAGCTGAAATTCTTGCTGTCACAACAGTACGCATACGCTCCACTTCCTGTCGAATGGGAGGATACTCTGATGAATGTCTGAGGTGATAGGGGATTGCGGTAGTTAAGGTGCCCGACAGCGCCAAGTTGTGGCTAGGTGGTGATTTTATGAAACATGGAAAACAAAGATTGCCACAGGTAGAATACATGGCGTCGTCGTCTGAACCCACACGTAATAGATCGCCACTAGGAGCTGAGTTTAAACTTGCAGTAATAGTCGTATGCTTTAAATCAGGTGAAACTGGAGGGTCTGATAGGCATAATCGAGATCTAAAATTGAGATCCCTCTAGAATTGTGTCCAGGGGGTCGATGGGCCAAAGCCAAAGGAAAAACACTTGGAGAGCACCTAACAAACAAGTTGGTAATGAAAAAATCAATCAAATTGTTAGTCACAGGAGAAGTGGTAGTCATGGTTTCCGACATAGGACCTCCGGAGGTAACATCGTCATCTATCCAAGCAAAAACACTTGTTCTTTTCGATCCTCTCCGACTCTTCTCCTCTTCTCGAGTGTGAGGAACCGGAGGTTGCCACATAATACCAGGAGCACTATGAGATGGGCATGCCGAGGTTCCCATTTGTTGCTCCGCTCCATCCAATGATCTTCAACAATGCAAGAATCCATAAGAGATGTTTGATGACAGCTGGTTTTCCTGCTCTTGAAAGTATTCCCTTTGACACAAGATCCTAGGGCTTCTGGTATAGGATAGCTTGATAGCACTTCCACCTCGGGGGTGGCCACATCGCAAAGATCATTCAGACAGTCGAAACCTTCCTCGAATTCCAATTTCTGCGCTCGACCCACCGCCTTAGAATCCTTCATGATCAACTCAGATGCTGTCTTTGTTATCCCAGAACCTCTCTTCGGGCTCTGGATTGGTATGAATGTATTGGATTTATATCACAGGCAATTAACTTCCTCTTAGTACATAAGATCTACCAAGGTCAGTTCATGATAACCTGCTGAAATGAATTAGTAATGGACCCATAGAAATTGTGTTAATCCAAATTGATCATGATACCATTTCGGGTTATAGTTTTACCAACCAAACCAGTTGAAAAATCTATTAACAAAATCATATCCTCATCAATCTCTGACTAGGCAGAAGTTTTAAAAAACTCTCTCCCCAACTCAACAAGAGTAAGTAATGCACTGGTTTCAGCGCTAGAAGATGACTGTTTCACTGCTTCTGCAGTAGCACCTCTATCACCAGATCTTTCAGTTGAGAGCAAACTAGCACCTCCATTACTATGCACACCATGAGTGGGAATGGTAAGATAGTTTGACAAATTCCCATATGGAGAAAGTGTCCGAGAAGGTGTATCCCCACCTTCTTGCTGAGAAAACTCTTTAGCAATAACATCACCAAGTTAGCATCTGGAAACAAAAATTGGTTTTATTGATGCAAGAAATGACTTACAAGATAATCTACTGAGAGATCAGGGCAATGTTCACCACCATAGTTTCTGTCAGACATTGCTATTAATGGTTAACAAACAAGCCTACCTGAGAGTAAAGAACACTTGGAATATTTAGTGGTAAACAAATTTGCTTATTGAGGGTTTTGATACGGAGGTTGTTGGGGGGTTGTTGCGGCAGTGATTGCGAGGGAGAAGAGAAGAGAAGGGAGCAAGAATAAAGATCGAGGCTCAAAACCCGAACTCCAAACCATGAGTGGCGCCAACTCAGAGGAAAAAAAAAATTAGCCTTTTAAAAAGGCTAAATAGGTAGGAGTAGCCCTGGAAGACCAAGTGGATAACTATCGATCTGAAAAAAATAGAAACAATTGTAGTGAGCTGGTTAGGTGCAGGGGAGTTATTGGAAAATGAAATGTCCTGAGGAAGATTTTGTCCGGAGAGGTGTGGTTGGAGGATGGAGGAAGGAACCATAGATGGCTGGAAAGAAGAAACATGTATAAGGAGATCCCGGGACTGTTTGTGGGCTCCGGGAACAGTCTCACACATAAGGCGAAATGACTCCCGATTCCACGGTTTGAAGGTAAAGTTACTCTATAACTTATGTGCAACATACAAAGGTTTGGCATCGATGCGTACTTGCTTCAATGTGCATTTGCGGGTTGCCATTAGGGAATCCCCGATCCTATGTGAATTCATAGAATCTACTTTTTTGTTTCTTCACTCCTGTCTTTTTTTTCCGCCCTTTTGAATATTCGGTAATGCTTTACGTGCATGATTTCTTCCTGTATATCATCTTTGTTAGCTCGTAGCCGGAATACTGATAGATAATTTGCCAGACCCTCTTTCATAGGCAGCCTTTCATTGGCGTGACGATACAAAAAATAAACACATGGGGATATTAGCTCCTCTATTTATCAAGATCCTCCATATTTGCTACACACCAAGGCAGGACCTCACTAGATATCTCTACCTCGAAACACCGAATAAAGCGCAACTCAGAAACAAACAAAAGGTCCAAGAATTAAAACCAATTCCACCAAGTACCTAGCGGAAACCAAAAAAATTAAAACCCCAAACAAAGAACCCAACGACACTAACAAATCCTCTACTTCGCATCACAGCATATCAATCGACCTAATCATAAGCGGTGATGGTAACCTGCACGGTACCATAACTGATGTGGGAGAAGTTGCGTTGAGGTTAAGCCGTTTATCATCATGCAGACCAAAAAAACTGAAGGGAAGAGAAAAAGAGAATGAGAAGAAGCGAAAGAAAGTAATGCTCATGATAGAGATGCCATAAGCCTAGATACAAGAGGATGACGTAAGCAGTTACACAGTATGGCTGGTGATGGCATATCAATACACATTGTTTAGTCAGGAGATAGAGGCCAGAATACACCAAAGATTGGGATTCTCGAGTGCGCATTACGGCATGGATTGTGCTATAATGAGCTTCAAAGAAAATAAACTGCACGGGACCCGCAGGCATCGAGGCACGGAGAAAGTCCGCCTCCTAGCTTGTCCAGACGTCCTCCGTCATGACCGTTGCCGACGAGACTTTTGGGCGAGGAGAGGCAACTCGCCTCGCTCCGCGCAGCTGCTCGCGAAATCCTTCTTCGCGATTGAAGGTGGAGGTTCTCTTGAAAAACCGTTTTTTGGTTGTGATAACGCCCAGTCCCAAGGAGGGCATCGGTTCCGCGGCGAGAAGCGAGGCCCGCAAACCGCAATCCCGAGTCAGACCACGTGACAGGTGCGACCTATGGATGGGCGATTGTGAAGGCACGCGGAGCGAGAACAGGAGTAACAGCCGGATTAGAAACAGCACGAACTGGGTGGCCGTGAGTCCGCCCTACTGTCAGATTCACCTGGCTCGAGCCGCTGGTGCCATTGAAGACGGTACGGTTGTTGTTCCCTGAGGAACTACGAGCCATGTTCTTCGTGTGTTTGGGACCCGCACAGCCGCCCTTATTCAAGCCAACAGTTACCCGTCCGGAGCCCTTTGGATTGACCACTGCTCTGCCGTTTTGGTGGACAGTTGAAATCCCACCGCGGGATTTCTTTGAACTTGGGTTTCGTCTTTGAGGGCTGGAGGTAGTGTTGGAAATAATCTACTTAGGATGCTCACCGTATACCATAACTGGTACCGACCACCCGCAACGACTACCCTGAGCCCTGCTCAACTACCAAGCAATCCTTCAGCAACAATAATCGGTGACTACTTAGTCTTGCATTAGTTCGCAGACTATCCGTGAGTGGGGGAAATATACCAGGGGATTCGGAAAAGGGGTTCCATACAGTAAGATGGGGGAACGGCCACCAGGTGGAATGTTTGGCAGCTAGGTGGAGGGAATCTGGAGATATAAGAGTCATGTTTTCCGCAACTGTTTTTACTGTCTTTGTCCGTCATCGTTGGGTTTCGTCTGTCGTTATTAGGCGGCTACCCATCCCTGACTGTCACTATTCATCTGCTGTTATCTGTTTCTTTCTCTTCTCTTCTTTCTTTGTCCGTTTTGTCATTACACTTGCTGTTTTATACATATCCTATTTCTCGACGTTCCTATATCCGGACCTATTCCGCTGTGCATAAACCTTGCTTAAAAGGTAGATGAAACGCTGCCTTTCGTCGCATTCTCTGCGACCCGCGGGCTCAGACGGTGTGTCTAACTTTAGAATACAATGCCGTTTTCCCGGAAAAGATAGGGCCCAAAATAGGAGACCTCGCATCCTTTCGCTCCGGTTTAGCTTCCTTGGGAGCAGAGATCACAACCTTCAGCACCGTGGGCATACGCTCCACTCCTTTTTGAATGGAAGGATACTCAAATGCCTCTCTCAGATAAGGATGAACTGTGGTAGTTAAGGCGCCCGATAGTACCAAGCTGAGGCTTGGTGGCGATTTTATGAGACATGGATAAGAAGGATTGGGACCTCCAATGCCCGTAGAATCCGGATCATCATTGTCAGAACCTATTAGTAAAAGATTACCGCCAGGGCGAGCGGAGCTACCCGTAGTAGTGGCTCGAGTAGCCACAATCGGGATCTAAAATTGGGGCACCGCTAGGATTTCGTGCTGGAAGATCATGGGCCAAGGCCAAAGGGGACATGCTGGGACTGCTTTCGGTAACCAATGAATCGGTAGAGAAAGGATCAAGCAAATCGCTACTCACCGGAGAGGTCGTAGGGATGCTGTCCGAGGTATGACCCGAGGAGGTAATGACAGCGTCTATCCAGGCAAAAACACCTTTGTCCTTCTGCCTTCTCTCCATCACTTCTCTAGTGTGAGGAACTGAAACCGGCGGCACAAAGGTTGAAGTGTTATGGGGTGGGAATGCTTTGTGGATTCTTTGCCACTCTACTCCATCGATCAACCGATCTTCCCCAGCTATGCAAGAACCGATAATACATGCTTGGTGACAGCTGTTTTTCAAGCTGTTGGATGTACGGCAGTTTACACCGGACCCTAAGACTGCCGGTGTACCATAGCCGGATAGGCCTGCAGGCTCTAGGCGACCACATCGCAGAGATCATTCAAACAGTCGAAACAGTCCTCAAATTCCAATTCTGGTGCTGGGTCCACCACCTTAGAATCGCTCATTATCAACTCAGACACAGTGCTTGTTATCCCAGAACCTCTTTTCGTGCTCTTTGTTGGTATCAATGCATTGAATTTCTCTCCCATGCAATTGATTTACTCTGAAGATATATGATCAATAAAGGACAGTTCATGATAACCTACACAAATAGATTAATAGAGGGCCCATAGATGTTGTATGAATTCAAACTAATTATAATACCCTTTTGAGTTTTTGTTTTATCAATCAAACCAGATGAGACATCTGATGGCAAAAGCATATCTTCATGAATCACAGAGGAGGTAGAGGTTGTGATAAGCTCGTTATTGATCTCATCTCATCAGGAGCAACCAACTCACTGATTCCAGCACTGGAATCTGACAATTTCCCCTCTTCTCCAGTAACATCTCTACCACCACATCTTATGGTTGGGACCACACCAGCACCTCCATCACTGTGCACGTCACCAGTGGGTGGGGTAAGATTGCTCGACAATCTATAATATGAGGAAGGTGCATGAGAAGGTATATCCTTATCTTCTTAGGGAGAAATCTCTTTAAAAAAAAAAAAAAAAAAACACGAGAAAGTTAGCGTCAGGATATCAAAATTGTTTTCCTTTCAACAACAAATAGCTTACCAGTCAAAGTGTCACCTGAGAGATCTGGATGGTCTTCACCATAGCTTCTTTTAGACATCTCTCTTTATGATTAATAAAAAAAGCCTTTTCGAAAGTAAACAAGAATTAGAGTATTTAGAACAAAAGTAATTTTGTGGTTAAGATTGTTGGTATTATTGTGGCAGAGGTGGTTGGGGGAATGGTTGTGGAGGCGGTGTAGTTGCGGAGGCTGGAGCCCCGAAACAAAGTCAGGGCTCAAAAACCAAACTTTGAACGCCTGAAGTATTGTGTACTCAGAGGGAAAACATTCTTGGGAAGAAAAAAAAGAATACGCCTTTAAAAAAGTTGAATAAGTCAGAGAAGTCCTTAAAGACCAACAATAAAGGACAAAAGGAAGGTAGTAAATGAGTGGAAGTAAAGTTGTTGCAAAGTGAAGGGTGCTGGTCAGGGTTTGTACGGCTGGTCTCGGGGCTGATTGTGGACTGAGAGCCAACTGCACATGGAGGATATATTGACTCGGACTTCCAGGGTTTTAAGATACTTGAGCAAACACAATAGTTTGCCATCATTGCTCACCTTCTGCAGTCTGGAATTTTGGTTTTCCCTTGAGAAAACTTAGATTCTATGTCAATTCAGATGATTTATTTATTGAGAGTGTTTCTTTTTTGCTTTGTCTTATTTGTGCAGTTATTTGTTATCTGTGTTTTTTTAATATTCAGCCATCCAGAATATTTACAAACATGCATTATTTTATCATATGCAGGAATGCTTGTTAGCTTGCAGCTAAAATAGTAACTGATAATTTGCAAAAGAACTCTTCTTGGCCAGCCATCTTTGGTATAATAATAGAATAATAAATACATTGGGAGTAATATTGAATAACTAGCCTTTGGGGATTCTTGTGTTCTTAGTGAGAGATGATTCATAATTTTCTGAAAAAGTATAAATAGGTGTTCTGCCTCACCAGTCAAGTAAATCACCCCAAAATAAGTATATGCCCTTGATCAAGTAAAGTATTAGGACAAATCATTCCATACTTTTGGTGGTTACTGAACCATATCTCAAAATATCACACCTCTATAATTAACTACTCCTCTATGATAATGGCTGCTCAGAATGACAACCATGTCTCAGATTGCGAGAAAGGGCAAATTATTGTTCTGAGATAAAAAGAAGAGTTCTTTTTATGAAATTAGAAAGCTTTTGAACCATCCTGAAACTACTGTCTAGGGTTTCTACAACTAATACCAGAAGAGGAGTCATGGGTAAATTCTTCTAATGTCTGAAAGATAAAATTATCAATACCAGAACCTGCTACCACCTAGTCAGAAAGTCTAAGAAGGTATGCTGCCAGACCTTATCTGAATCGGACAATGAAGTTATACTACATGCTCCTGTCAAGATAGTTCAGAGAGCCTTAGCCTTAGTCAACATGAAAAAGTAGAGAGCAAGAAAGCAAGACCTTCTACAAGATGAGTATACTCTTCAGAAGTTAGCCTGGATGATGGAGTATAAGAATTAAATAATAGGGAACCTGGAGGGGGTCATTTTTAGTGATAAATACTTAGTTGAAAAGTCTAAGGATTCAAAGAGTATTTGGGTCTTTAGCATACTAGAGGAAAAGTAGTACAAGGACTGTATTCAGGGGATAGCAAAATGGCCTGAGATAAGGTTAATAGTCTGGGCTTGTATTTGGGGTAAAGGTAAAGGTCCTCTGATCACTATTTTTGGGAAGGGAGTTAATACTAGATTTATATATATTGTGTGTAATGTGATCTATACTTGTTTGAGTACAATAATCATGGTAGTAATGAATACAATTGATAAGACTGATAGGTGCTAACCAGTAGAGCCAAGCACAGTAGTATCTAAAGGAGTTTTTGGGAGGTGAGAGGACTAATGTCTTATTCCATACTCTAAGTCTACAATAGGCTGTAACAACCTTAAGAGGTAAAGTAAGAAATCAAGAAAGTAGCCATTCAAGCAAGTATATTTAAGAATAACTTTCTACTGAAGTCTGCTGTCCAAAAAAACCAGACTCAACAGACCCTTCAAATAACATAATTGTTCACTATTGTGGTGTACCAAAATAATAAGACTATATCAATTGATACATCTTGAAACAAATCATAAAACAAATATCATATCAAATGATAAAGTAAAGCAAAGATGATATCAAATGATACATCTTGAAACCAAACATAAAACAAATATTGTATCAAATGAGAAAGTAAAATAAAAATGATATATAGAGTACCTGTACCCATTACATTCCCCAAAATAAAACAAAGTTTCAAATAAAACAAGAACAAAAATAAAATACCAAAACAAAATCCTGAATCTTTTTACAACATATCTGCCATAATTCGGTCCTCACTATCAGTTGATTCAAAATTACTGTCAAAGTATAGTGTAGAGTACCTTTTTTCTGTTGAGATATCCATTGACTATCAACTAACTATTAGTTTTTTCTGGTGCCCATTCTGTTCACACAAACCCTAAATGGACAAGTAATCTCTCTAGTAATACCTCCTCTTCATTACTCTTCTACCATTGCCTCCACAAGCTCTATTATATTATCAAGTCCCTCAATTAGTTTCCATCTATCTTCAAACTAGGATAACCCAACCACTTGACAAGGATCTGATCCTGAAATCAGGAGAGAAGACTTTAAGGACAAGATGAAGTATAGAAAAGTAGAGTAAGTGAAATAGAATATGTTTGGTGAAAAAAGTTGTTGAACTTATTTGTTTTACTAGTTAAGGGAAACAAAACATCGACGGTAATAACCTGTAATATATACAAACTTCAAAGTCTTGTACAGCCATCAGAATACCCTAAACATTCCGTACC